TGATAGTGAGGCACCTGCGCTTCCGGCTGGCGAACTTTGAAAGGAATAGGGCCGCGAACTGCTCGAACCCATCGATCCTCCCCTCCTCGATTTGGTGGTACCAATCCAGAACCACGCCTGTGAAAGTGGAGGGAAAGGCGCGACATAGGGTGGCCTCCGAGCTATTATATAATTGCATTTTGGTGAAGTAGTTGTTCAGGTGATCCTCCGGATCAGTTGTACCTTCGTAACTAGGGAGCGCCGGGATGGCCGAGTTGCTTGTTCGGCCAGTATGCTTCGCGCGAGTGGCTGCCTCACTCCCCATGCTCTTCCATGGCGACGGGGCGCCCAACCATTGTGTTCATCAAAGTCCGAGGCCATATGCTTCGTCAGGTGCCCCAAGTCCTCCGTGCGCTTCAGCGCGCTGGACGCCCCTTCTTCATCCTCCTCTCGGTCCCTTCTCTTTCCCCCTAGTGGGGGCGCCGCTTACGCTCCTTTCTTCAGCATCTCCACTTCCTTCCCTGAGTGCCTCCAGCGCCTGGTCTTGCTCCCCGATTATGTGAAGTAGATGCTCCTTCGTGAGGGTAACGCCTTCGGATTGGGCCGTTTCCTGCGCCTCGTCGTCAACACCTGCATGCGCCTCTCCTGACAGGACGGGCGCCTCTCGGGATGCCTCAGCGGCCGCCTGTCCTCTTTCTCCCTCGACTCCTCCTGGCGCCTCCATGACACCTTACTTGTTCAGTAGTACAATCCGCCGCCCCCTTCCTGGCGCGCCAATTGTTCGTGCCTAGAAACTCTCTCTCCCGCGCCTCGCGCTTCAATCCCTTTAGCTCCCCCTGTAGACGCACTCCTGCACCCACACACAAGCACCTAGCGGACCGGCTTGGTCCGTTAGCACTCCGACGCTCAAGTGAGAACCCTCCTTTTAGAGAGAGAAGTAAGGAACATTCCTAGTAAGAGAAGCAAAAGCTGAGTAAATGAGGTTTACCTACTCGACTATTTATACCCGGGGCGAGATTGACCAGTACCCGTCGCTCTCGCCCTGTGTCAGGCCCGCCATAAATGCACCGTACTTCCCTCGCATATGCGCCTCGACCATCTGACACCGTGGTCAGAGGTCCGAGGCGCATGACATCACTAGGTCAGTCTTTCGTACACTTTCGGCCGTTGGCTGCTTTTGTCCCATGCGCCCTACGTCAGGTGCCCGGTCCCACCTGCCTCCTACGTCAACCAGGCCACGCAAGCCCTTGCCAGGGCGCCTTCCAGCCCAAGACCCTTGCCCCCATGGGCTTTTCTAAGTTTCTCTGATTGGGCCCACATCTGCATCCCATTAGCACCATTCTTTGGGCCTTCCTTTTCATGTTGGCCCTTGGCCCATACTCGTTCCCCCAACAATAAGGATGAAATAATATTAATAAAAGGAGAAAGATTACAGAAAAGTCAAGAGGAAAGAAGAGGCAGCAAGCAAAAAAACCTAGGAAAGGAGCAACAAAACAATTGCTCGGAGACCACTATAAAGTATAAACAAAACCAAACAAAAACCAAAACGAGGCCAAGTCTGACAAGAAACAAAGCCAACCAAAAACCATTGCTTGACTGTTGTGGTCCGAGCTTCGAGCAAGCAGTCCAAGACAGCAACAACAAGAGAAGAAAAGTGCATTAGAGACGTACAAACATACTTGCTGCATCCCACCAGCAGCTGTGAACGGTCATTCACTCACAAGAAATCCCGTGGGGTTGTCTTAGCAGGAGGAAATCCCGCAAACCTGGTCTTATGTTAAAACTCGATATCGAGAAGGCATTTGATAATGTCAATTGGGGTTGTCTTTCCAAAGTCTTATCTTGTCTCGGCTTTCACGAAAAGTGGAGGAAATGGATTGATAGTGCTGTGTGTTCCCCGTCTCTTTCTATTCTGATCAACGGGGAATCAAAGGACTTCTTTCAAGCGCAAAAAGGTCTCCGACAAGGCGACCCTTTATCACCGGGCTTGTTTGTCTTAATAATGGACGTCCTTTCATTTATGCTGTCCAAGCTCAAAAGCGAAGGTAAATTCAGTGGATTTTTCATGGACGAGATAACACAAGAAGGTGAAGTCACTCATCTTTTGTTCGCGGACGACACCCTGATTTTCTGCGATGCTTCCCATGAGCAGGTTCTTCACATCACAGCCACGCTTGCCTGCTTTCAAGCTGTTACCGGCTTAAAAATAAACCTCGACAAATCGGTGTTATACACTGTTGGTGATGTACCGACTCCGGATTTCTATGCTAATATTATCGGCTGTAAATGGAGTCATCAACCACCCAAATATTTGGGCTATCCTCTCGGAGATAAGCTAAATACAAATAGCTTCTGGGACCCTATTGTCAACAAGTATAAAAAACGCCTTGATAGCTGGAGCAGCAGATTTTTATCCACAGCAGGTAGACTGGTCCTTATTAAATCTGTTCTATCGAGCTCGGCAGTGTATTATTTCTCACTCTTCAAAGATCCAAAATCAGTGATCAATCATCTTGAGAAGATTCAAAAGAATTTCTTGTGGAATGGAACTGAGGTCAAAAGGAAGTTTTTTCTGATCGATTGGAAGACTTGCAAAGCTGCAAAGGAAAATGGTGGCCTGGGAATTCCTGATTTAGCATCTTTCAATTGTGCTCTGCTCTCAAAATGGCTCTGGAAATTTGCAACCGAATCCAATAGCTGGTGGCGAACCCTCATTGATATCAAATATAAGAACCACAGTTCTCAGTGGTACACCAGCAAAATTCGAGGATGTAACTCAAGCTCGGTTTGGGCAAATATTACTCGAGAAAACGATCAGTTCTGGAACCACGCTTGTATCGACCCAGGTGGAGGCGCCCATGTTTCCTTCTGGCAGGATCATTGGATTCCGGGCTGCTGTCTTGCTACTTCTTTCCCCCGTGTCGCTGCTGCTGCCGTGAGCCCGGAAGCTAAGATCAGAGACATCGTAAACTTCTCAGGTAATTCTTCTACATGGAATATCGACCTTTCTATTAACTTGAGAGGGGGAGCTGATAGGGAGAGAATGAATTTAATTGATCTTCTTAATTCTTATGACATTATCAGTAAAGCTTACAGTCCAAGTAGGGTTGTCTGGCAACCCAATCCGGAAGCAGGGTTCTCTGTTAACTCGATGTTCCGAGTGCTTGCTGCTAGTAGGTTTCCAGGCGTGTCTGAGTTTCCTTCACAGACTGTTTGGAAAAATTGTATTCCTCCGAAAATTTGTTTCTTTCTTTGGACCCTCACTCACAGGAAGACTCTGACCCTTGATACACTTCAGAGGAAAGGCTGGACCTTGGCGAATCGATGTGAATTATGTTGCAAAGCTGAAGAGACGGCCCAACATTTGTTTGTGAACTGCTCCTTTTCTGAGCAGGTCTGGAAATTGGTGGAGAAATCTTGCAGGTCCTTAGTCTTCCCATTCAACTCTGATCTCACTAATATAATCAGATCGTGGCCTGCCACCAGTCCTGATAACATTGAAGATTGGTTCAAGTATGTCGCTCTTCACACGGTTTTGTGGTTCATCTGGTTGGAACGTAACCAAAGAATCTTCAATAATGCCTTGAAGAGTGCTGAAGAAACAGCTATGAAAGTTCTAAATTTGGCTATGGGATGGCTGGTCGCTCATGGAAAGATTGATCAAATGCAGGCCTCGCAGTGGCTTCAGAACAATCGTCATTTATTTATTCGCCCATGTTGACTCCCCTCGATGCATCGGAGTGCCGTGTGCTGCTGTTGCTACTGAATTGCTGCTGATTTGATGCTGCTGCTGTCGCTGCTGTTATTGCTATTGTTTTAGCTTTAATGCGTGTTCTTGGTTAGTTGCAGTGCTGCTGCTGTAACTGATTTTGCTTTTGTTTTTTTGTCTTTTTCGTAATCTTGTCGCTTCAATCTGATTACTGACACTCCTTGTGCTAGTGATAGATTCCAGCTGTACATCAAACTTCTTTTCTTCTTCCGTTAATGCATTTTCACCTTCATCAAAAAAAATAGGAAAACAATTCAGACAAGGAAAGCGACCTGCAATCCGAAGTCTCATCGGATACATTAGTTTTCTATTACAAAAATCAAGAAACAAACTATGACATTATAGAAAAAGTTAAATTATTGGAGAAATTAAGCTTCTCACCTAATTATAACTCTATATATTATAGCTAAAACATGATGCAATAAAAGTAAATTCTATATAATTTTAATCAAATTACATATAATTTAGGCAAATGGATCGACAATATACGAGATGACTCAAAGCAAGTCAGATCGAAATAAATATCCATACGCCCCTCTAAACAAATCAGATAACACAGGTTCAGATCAAAATTGCTATACCACATTTTTTTTTTCTTCTCCGCCCTCATTATACATAGTGAAGAACCACATTGACTATTTGTGCGACAACTTGGTACAATTTCAAATTATCTTTATCTATTGTCGAGAAGATGACTATAATATTATTGAGATGAAGGTTTAGCTGGACTATATATGCACACAAGATTCAGCGAAACGACTACGTTGTTTGGCGCACTTGTCTTGTCGGATTTCAGTCATAGTCACGAATTGGACACAAGCAACAATGTTGTCCAATGGCATTAATAACCTCAAACGGCTGCTCTGTATCTTCCCAACGGAGTGAGCTAAAATGTCCATCTTCGAAGTGTCCGTTGGGGCGCCATCGATGTCAACCCCCTTACCACGCGACAAAACGGACCGTCGGAAACCGTAATAGAATATACAGAGATATGCCATATCAACGGCAATTGTTCCGTTTACTTTCTCCCAACTATGTTAGACCATCCATAAGCAAATCAATCGTCGTTCCGCGTTACCACCGTATCTCGCTGACTCGCTCGTCTGTCTTACTTTTGGGGCCTAGTCTAGTCAACCAAAATCAGACAGTACTATATATTGAAGCTCTAGAAACCCAAATCAGCTCAGACTCACTGAACTCAAAGCTCTAACGATTCCCCTGTACCATTTTCTTGATCCGTGCCACCGTGAAAATGAACGGAAGCAACCTAGACGATCTTCAATGGCTCCAAGAAAGTGAAACTCGTGGTCATGATGATGATCCCGCGTCGACGGCACCTGCCGCCGGTCAACGCCTGTCCTTTGACCTGCTGCAGAAATTCGGACAATCATCATCGGCGGCGGCTGGATTGGGCTCCCCGGATCACGAGGAGATCGCCAATCATGATGGGGAGCGGTTGCCGGCGGAGGAAGTGGTGAGAATCGCCGCCGCGAGGATCGTGAAGTTCTCGTCCCACAAGGCCGGAGCTCCTTCGATGCTCCAGATCCCATTCGACCCTGCCCTCTCCCACCTCTCCGACGAGGACCTCAGAGACGTGGAGCTGGCGGAGTGCCTCCTCGCCGCCGCCGAGAGGGTCGGCGACAAGCAGTTCAATCACGCCTCCGCTTTGCTCAACTTGTGCGATTCATTGGCTTCCAAGACAGGGAACCCTCTTCAGAGATTAGGGTATTGCCTCTGTCAGGCCCTCCGGGACAGGATAGCTCGCGAGAAAACGATGGTCGCCGGCGGCGGCGGCGAACAGCCTCCCTCCCCGCGGAGGTTTCCCGACCTCGAGGAATCGTTGATCACGAAGTCGGAGTTCGCGATCACGGCGATGACACGTGGGCAGATCCCAATGTACCAGGTGCCACATCTGGTCGCGGTCCAGGCGATACTGGAACGGGTGGCGTCCGCCAGGCAGATCCACGTCATCGATCTCAGGATCAGTAACGGTCAACAGTGGGTCGCGCTCATGCAAGGTCTGGTATCGCGCTGGTCGGACCGAACCGGTCCGCCGGTCCATCTTTTACGCGTCTCTGCGGTGGTAGTGAGCAGCAGCGTTAACGGTACCACTGTCGCGGATCACTTGGCTTCTATTGAGGAGACGGGAGACAGGCTGACGAAGTTCGCCGAGAGCATGGACGTGCCGTTTCGATTCGAGATTGTTGTGATGGAGGACGGGTGGGGTTTCTCTCATGACCGGTTCGGGCTGAACCTCAGAGAGGAAGCGTTGGTGGTTTACTCGGAGTACGGGCTGAGAGGGCTGATGGGTCAGCCACGTCAGGCGGAGCATGTGATGAGGGTTCTGAAGCAAATGCGGCCGCGAGCCATGGTGACGATCGAGGTGGAAGCCAACCTCAACTCCCCGAACTTCGCACATAGGTTCGTGGAGGCCATGTTCCACTACAGCGGGGTGTTCGAGAACATTGAATTGGGTATGACCCGAGATGACCCGAACCGGGTGGTTGTCGAGACGGTTTTCGTGGGGGACAAGATTAGTAACATATTGGCGTGTGAAGGAGAAGAGAGGTACATGAGAAGTGTGAGGATTGGGGTTTGGAGGAAGTTCTTTGCCCAATTCGGGATGGTTGAGGTTGAACCCAGTGAAGCGGCTTTGCACCAGGCCAATCTGTTTATAGAGAAGTTTTCAAGTGGGCACCCTTATACCATAAGTATGGATGGCCAGAGCATGGTTTTGGGGTTCAAGACTACACCTATGGTTTGTGTGTCTACTTGGAAGTTTGTTCATTTGGCTAAGCTAGTGAGTAATAGTCGCGATGAATTGAGGGTAGAGTTTTACTAATGAATCATTTCGACTCATGAATGTCATATTTTGAGGTGTATGAAATAAACATAATTGTGGTCTTTGATCATGATTCTTCATATTAAATTTATATGCATTATTGAGGGGTAGGGGTAAATTTTGGCATTATTACGCACATTCGATTTACATTTATCATCTAAAAAATTCTAATACCACTACAAATCTCGAACTTTCATTTTAGTCCAAAGTGTTCAATATAACAATTATAGAATAAGATTTCTGTCTTTGTTACATTGACTATTAGTAGTCAACCCATGTCATCTAAATAGCATTCAAAAATATTATATATTATGTACTAAAAAAGAAAATAAACTAATCGAAACTAATTTTTCTATCTTTTCCTCTCTTCATCACCCCTCTATTTCTTCCAAACATCGTTCACATTGAAATTGCATTTTGAATTGCGACATGACACTCATTGTAAAGATGGAATTGGCATCTATATCAATTCAAATTATGCAATTGCATTGATATAGATGACAATTTGCAAATGCATCTAGGGGTCATTTGATTGAGTCATTTGGTACCAAATAACTCGTTGTATGAGTACTAATTTCATCCCTACAAAATTACCAAATGACTCATTATTTCTCCAACAACTTCACTTATGTCATTATCTCTTCTTTGTAAACCAACTTCTATCATTTATAGTATTTGTTTTCTATGTCATTGCTTCGTCACCTCTCAGTACACAAGTGACAAAGAGACACACATCTACTTAGCAATGCCTCTTTTTTGCAAATGACCTCCTAATGCAATTATGGGTTGCAAACCACATTATCTTTTTATTATTAAATTATTTGACTGGTTATGTTTTTATAATTGTATTAAAAAAGCAATTACAATTGCAAGTAATTGCATTCATTGTTGTGCATTAAAATTAATATGAGTTGGATTGCATAAATTGTGAGGTGACAATATGAACAATATATGCACTTGGTTTTGCAATTGTATGCTCTAATAACAACATTGGTCTTGCATTTCCCAATTGTAAGATAACATGACATGAATTTTTGCATTTTGTAAAACCAATTGCATTAACTTGGTTATCATTATATATTTGCAAGCTTGCAACAAATGCAATTGTATATGAAAGCAAAAATGGCCTATAAAAATGAGGATTCTTTATTTTCTATAAAAATGTCTAAGGATGCGGTCGTTGGTAATTATCAAGCATCACCGACATTTTGAGATCGCATTTTAGTATTTCGAATTATGTCTGCTAAAATAATGTTTTGCTTTTTGAATTTATTGTTCATATATGAGTTACTTTAATTGTCTTTCTATGGTTATTAATAATAAAAATTTAATGAAAATTTGTATTATAATTAAAAATTTACATAAAATATTTATCATAATTAATTATTACTAGCTATTGATTATCTACAAATATATTATATCAGAGTTAGAGGCATTTTTCCAGCATTTCGAATTTCCTGCAACGAGAGCAAAAGTAGGAAGGGTAATTGTGTCTTCACAATCATTATTTATTTTTCATTCATAAGAAGAAAAAAATATCAATCTTAAGATTTGAACCATGGTCTTTCCAACGAAGACAACAACCATTACCAATTACACTTAAGAAATGTTTTGTATATTTTTAAATACAAAATTTGAAAACCTAAAATCTAAAAATCATATGCCTTTTTCACTACTGTTAGCTAGCCCACTAACTCTCCCGTAAGTACTTTTTTTATTTAATATTTGAATTTTCATTATTTTAATTTTAGTTTAATAATTTTAATTTCTGTCTATCTTATAAATGGAGGATAATTTTAAAATTGCAACCCAAATATCTATGATGTGAATATTGCACATTGAATTGTAGTATTGAATGTGTAGATGTGATGTAGAATTCTTAACTTGATATTAAGTTTTAGAACGGCTAAACTACATGTTTGGTCACTCAAATTATACAAATCTTTCACGTTTACCACCCGAATTACTTTTCTTTCTTATTCGCCACTAACTTTACGAATTGCTTCACAATTAGTCACCGGTCGTTACACTCCGTTAAGTTTGTCCTATGTGCAAGTCAACTATTAAAGTTTGACTGTTAACTAGATGATGTGGAAATAAATAAAAATTCAAAAATAAATAAAAATTTCCACTTCATCATTCCACTTACTTTGTCTATATAATTTATCATTTTAATTATTTACAAAATTTACAAAATTAAAAAAACTAATTGTCCACGCCCTGATCCACTTCCAGTTCCAGGCGCCACCCACTCGTCTCCCCCAAGCTCACCTCCTGGTCCCACCCTCCTCCTCATCACAAAGACCCTCCCCGGATGGCCGCCACCACCGGTAGCTTCGACATTCGACAACGACGTCATCGACTCGGAGTGGTTCTACATCATGTCCACCCGCTCCTTCGCGACCGACAATGGCATACGTCTCCAACAAACAAGTTACTCACCACCGGGTCCCTGACGTGGCTCGCCGGGCCCCACGAGCTGTCGTACTACAACTGCAATCGGGCCAAGGAGGCCCAATTGCTCGGCGTCCAGATGCTCGTCTGTATCCCTGCCCAGGGGGGAGTGATCGAGCTCGCCTCCTGCGACGTCGTCAAGGAGAATTGTGGGTTCGTCTAGCAGGTTAAGCCTCTGTTCGGGTCAAATCCCAGCGAGTCGTCAATCGCGAAGGACCAGACCAAGATGTACCCGTTCCTCGACATCGAGATCATCACCGGATCCAGGAGGAGGATTACGAGGACGACAAAGAGAATCAGAAGCAAGCGCTAGATTGACAAGAAGGAGAAAGATCAGTACTCGCGGAGCAACAACAACAACAATAAATTGGCCGACAATTATATGGACTCGGAGCACTTGGGTTCAGATTGTCCGTTCGTCGCCGTTAACAACGGGAACGGAAGCTCGGTGAAGGGAACAACACCGCCGACAACCACAACATCACCACCTCCGTGGTCGTCGTCGATACATTAGCCGGGGATCTCGTACATGGAGAAAATGAACTGCTTGTCCATGGGAAACCAGAGCAAGAGCTCATGCTGCGATATTAAATTTTTTAGTTTAATTAATTTTTATAAATAATTAATACAATAAATCATATAAACAATGTAAGTGCCTAAGTGGAATGATGAAGTGCAAACATTTATTTTTTGATTTTTTTAATTTCCACGTCACTTAGTTAACAGTCAAACTTTGATAGTTGACTGCCACATAGGAGAAACTTAACGGAGTGTAACGGTCAGTGATTAATTGTGAAACAATTCGTAAAGTTAGTGGAGAATAAGAAAGAAAAGTAATTCGGGTGGTAAACGTGAAAGATTTGTATAATTTGAGTGACCAAATGTGTAATTTAGCCGTTTTAGAACTATTAAAGCAATGATATTGTTATGCAAACTGTAAGTGACCAGTTTTTTGAAAATTTTAGTTTGGTTAATCCTTAAATCCTAAATCTCTTGATAATATGTCATGATTGAAAAAATGTGTGAGTTTAAGAGAACACAATTTCTGAATGCCAATTATTCTAGATGATTTCAATTATCTAAATCTTTTATCTTATGGGGTAATTGACCAGATGTATCATTTATAGTTTGTTTAATATGAAATAACTGCAGTACAAGACAAATCATGAAAGTCCGGTTGGAGTTTCCATGGACTGATGCAATCCGGATCGCCTCACAAGACATCCATCGAGTAAGAAAGACATACAACGATCGTGATTCGAAGATGAAGGCTTTAGAGGTTCGAGAAGGCATTCAAGGGGTGACTTCAAGCTTATTTGGCCCAGAACTTCACCAAAGTGGAGGCCGACTTGTTTGTAGGACGGGAAGTGATGATCATGGGTGTTGGGGCTGTTTCAGGCCAAATACCCGGCCATGTCTCTTGGCCGTGACTTCTGCCCGTGAGACCAGTGAAGCGGGCGTTCAGAAGACAGTTAATCTCACGGCCGCATCTCACGACCGTGAGATTTGGGCTGTTTTTACTACACGACCTGTTTTTTTGTTTCCTTTGCGGATTATGTGACTTTTACACCAAAACTCGGGTTTTCTTGTTATTTTTGGCCCAAAACCTTTATAGCCTATATAAGGGGTTGAACTAAGTTTTTTAGGGGTAATCAACACTTTTATTGAAGAATACAAATCCTAGAATTAGTTTTTCAAACACCAACTTCTCTTCTTCTTCTTTCTTGATCGTGGAATCGATTTAGCAAGAGGAAACCGATGTTTTCTGCTAGCTCATCACCCTAGCTGAATAGTCCTTCGTATACCTGGACCTCTTCCCGACTCGTGGATTTGGTTTGGGTTATTATCCGCTTTGTGATCGTTGTGCTTTAATCGATCTTTGCTGCGTTTCTGATTGTTTAAGTCCAGGAGTTGGAGCCTCGGCTTATATCAGGTGGTATCAGAGCTCTGGTTCAACACAGTGACACACATATCCCTCCTTTCTTGTGTGAGAATCAGGCAAATTAGGTCTTGTGTTCTTAATCGCCGCCAAGAAGGTTAATTTTCAGTTTCTGTTTTCAAACAAAAGAAAATAAAAGAAAAGAAAAGAGAAGATTCCTGAAGTTTTAGAGAGAATTCTGAAGGTTCTTGTAGCTTACTTGTGCCGCAGACATGGACGAGTTTGAGCAAGGTAATCTGTTCTGTACTCGTTGTCTGGTTCAAGAGAACTTGTATTTTGTGGTGGTGGATGGAGAGATCAAATCCAATTTGATCAGTTCGAGGACAGTAGCTAAGTTAGGGCTAACTACACAACAACATCCTAGCCCTTACCTATTGTGATTGTTAGTGGAAGACGCTTTTGTATATGTGACTCGACAAGTATCTATGGAGTTTCAACTTGGGACGTATGTGGACAAGTATCTATGGATTTTCAACATGCTGGCATCACAAAATATTAAGGTATCATCCTCATACAAGAGATGAGTTACTTGGCCAGCATGGGAGGTTGCATTCATGGGGAAACCGTTTATCAGTCCTGCTGACTGTAGTTTGTCCAATATAAGAGAAAGGCATTCCATAACCATAATGAACATAAAGGGGGATAAAGGGTCCCCTTGTTGTAGGCCACGGTGGTTTCGGAAGTATCCTTCCACCTGACCATTCACTAATGCTGAAAAATGTGGAGTGGTAACACATGTATGTAGCCATGATATCCATCGTGTCCCGAAACCCATTTGCTGCATTGTAGTAAACAAGAAGTTCCAATTGACATGATCAAAAGCTTTCTCTATGTCAAGTTTTAGAATGACACACAGTATTTGACTTCTGCTGCGCGAGTCAATCAACTCATTTGCTATTAGAGATGCATCAAGAATTTGCCGTCCATGAATGAAGGCCATTTGAGAGTTGGATATAAGCTTGCCCATATGCTGCTTTAGCCTTAACATTAGAATTTTGGTCAAGATTTTGTAGAAACTTCCCACCAAACTAATAGGGCGTATGTCCCTGATGTCTTTCACCGCTTCTCTTTTGGGAATGAGAGCAATAAAGTTGCTGTTGACCGCTCTTGGTAAACACCCTGTAGCCTGGAAGTCTAATAGGGAAGCCTTTAAATCAGCTTTCAAGATAGGCCAACAATGTAGATAGAAAGAAGTATTGAACCCGTTTGGACCTGGTGATTTATCTCTCGCACACCCTTGTATTGCTTTCCATATCTCCTCTTCGGTAATTTGTTCCTCTAAGACAACAGTTTCAGTGGTGGAGATGTTGTTGAATGGCAGAGAGAAAGGGAATGGACGGGTAGCTGTATCCTCAGTATGTTGCAATTCATAGTAGTTTACAATTGCAGCGCCAAGAGTGTGTTGACCTTCGTAGCTTCTTCCTTGTACTTTGATTTTGTTTATGAAATATCTCCTTCGGTTGCTGTTCGCGACCCTGTGAAAAAATTTGGTGTTGTTGTCGCCTACCTTTAACCACCTTTCTCTTGATTTCTGACGCCAATTAATTTCTTCCTGTAGCAGCACTTGATCGAGATCGTCTTTTAGATAGCAGCGTTGTACTCTTTCATCATCATCTAGTGCTTTCGTGTCTTCTTTGCTATCCAAGTTTTGAATTGCATCGAGTAGTCTCTTCTTTTGATCTTCCATTCTACGAAAAGTGTTGAGATTCCATTCCTTTAGTTTAGCTTTGATATATATCAATTTTGCTGCGAAGGAGAAGACTGGTTGTGGTCTTGATGGTGCTTCAAGCCACCATTTCTCAACAGTAGCGTAGAAGTCCTTGTGTTGCAACCACATATCTTCAAACCGAAAAGGTCTTCGAATATTTGTGTGATTGCCGCAATTGAGGAGCAGCAGCTTGTGATCATATAATATCCTTGTTAGAGCTCTCTGCAAAACAGAAGCAAAGTTAGAGTCAAAGTCTGGGGAGATGAGGAAACGGTCGAGTCTGGACATTGTTGGGTTCTGCTGCTGACTGCTCCATGTATATTTTGATCCATTTAGAGGTAGATCGATAAGATGGTTGTTTTGAATGAAGTCGTTGAACATGTAGCTGAGATTGTCGCTTGCTCTCCTGTTTGTATCATCGGCGTATCTTATGAAGTTGAAGTCTCCTCCAATACAGAGCGTCAGAGGCCATCGATTGCAGAGTTGAGATAATTCGTCTAGAAACTGCCTCTTCTCAGGCACTTTCTGTGGACCGTAAATAGATATGAACACCCATTTAAAATCGTCTGAGTTGGTTTGGAATACACAGGCTACCGAGTGTACATCGATATGGCGGCCGACCAAAGTAAGAGATTGTTTCTTCCATAGAATAAGTAATCCGCCAGAAGCACCATTTGAATTCTTGTGAACTGACTCGTAGTTTTGGCCTCCTCCAACTTCTTTTATGAAGGTTTGATCAATAGCCTACGCCTTTGTTTCCTAAAATCCAATTAAATCGGGCTTCCACTGTTGTAGATATTGCTTGACCTTGCCTCTTTTTTGGGGGAACATAGCCCCCTTGCATTCCAACTGATAATTTTAACTGTCATTACAAGGGTCGTAGGCGGAGCCAAATCTGTCATTTCTTACTCGCCTTTGCTTTTCCTTGAAATTCACTGCAAAAGTTAACTTCTTCAGTTCTCTGGCGGTGTGAGTGCTTCCAACATCATTCACCAAACTCGATGCCGCTTCTGAGGTTATCGAGTTTATCGCCGCTTCCGTGATCATGTCATAGGCTTCTTCTTCAGAGCAATTTAATGAAACACCAATAATCTCTGCAACTTCTTTACTTGTAGCTGCTAGGCGTAGTGCCTCATCTTCTTTTGAAATGGAGTTGACCACTGTTGTTTGTGTAATAGTCGGCAAATTTGGGAGTACCGATTGGTTGGGAAGTTGGGTTTTGTGTAGGAAGGAAATAGATTGTTCCTGAATCATTGGGGGTAAGTGTGGTCGATTAGGTTCAAGGACAAGAGGCGGAGTTGGTGAAGGTTGATGAGCAACAGAAGTGAAGTTCTGTGTTGCAGATGGGGTTTTTGTTTTGGATGTCGTTGGTGATGGTGGGAGATCATTTGCGGTGGAAGTTGTTTCTTTCTCATTATTTGGAAATTTGGTGGGCTGGTTGCAGGCAATAAGTGGGATTTTCTTGGATCTTTTGGCTTGGTATGTGATTATGGGTGGTTGGGCTGGGGCTTTGAAAATGTTGGAGCTAGTTGCGTGCGGGCTGAAATGGGTTGTGCTTGTAGTTGGCTGCTGCATGTAATTCTCTAGGTTAGGGGTAGGAGATTTATGACGTCCCTGCTGTTTGGGGGAGGTTGCAGTCGGCATTGAAGAAGTAGTAGTGGGCAGTAATGAAGAGGAGGCAGGGCATGGTACCTCATTAATATCGAGATCAATGAGTGATGGCACTGAGAGATATGGTATCCTTGGTACGTGTGAGCGGTGGATTGCCTGTTTGCCCCTCCATCCCAGTAGGACCCGGTTTCCGGAGGAGCGAGAGATTGGCGGCGGAGGTCTTTCCGGTGCAACAGAGATGGGGAAAATAGTTGTACCATGGACTATTGGAATTTCTGCGGGGATAGCTTGATCCGACCTTATCTTCACTCGAGCTTTGTTAGAGCTCCATGACAAGTTGTCGACTTCCAGTACTTCGCCGATGAAACCCCCAATATGCTTGATGAGAGATTGACTTCTCAGATGGGTTGGTATCCCTGATAGTTCGATCCAGAAAGTATTGGTATAATCCAGGTAGTTGGTGCGGCCGGCTTCCTCAGTCCATGGACTTAAAATCATCTTGAATTTTCCGAAGTTGGTGATGTTGGAATGGAGAATTCTTCTCGCTTTGGTTGGACTAGAGCATAGCAGCATCAGAAGGTCGTCACCAGCATCGGTCAATGTGCATTCGTTCCATTACTTCCAGTTCCTCCGAATCCATTGTTGAAGGTCCGGGATTGAAGAGATGGAGAAAAGTGTGTTCTTGTCTTCATTTATTAGTCGGATCAATACACATCGCTCTAGAAATTTTAAGCGGTCTTCCACCCCATCATTCTCTACCTTGACATACGCCTGATTTCCGTCCATGGCAATGGAACAGACTCCATGCATAGGAAAAACCTTTCCCCAAGACCGCTTCAGCATAAGATTTAGTCTGGGGTTGGTTTTCCTTATCGCAGGAGATCGCACTTCGAAGAATTTTGATAAACTTGGACCATGCCATCAAATTCGTACCTGGTGGAATGCAGACAAAGAAGACTTTTCCGTTTGGGCATAACTCTGAGATTTTCAGATACCGTACCTCACGATTAATGAAACTTCCTACGTGCACGTAGCGTTTGCCACTTTCTTGACGCAAAGCTTGGGGAATCTCCAGTTGCTGTCCATGGCTGTCTGCAAGATATCAGCTAGCCAATGTGCTTGCACGTTATCAATGTAGATGTAGTGTTGGGGGGAGGGTTTTCATGGCTGCGGTTTCATGGCAAATTTTTCCTGACTAGTCATCACAGTTTACCAATGACTCAGCCTTATCCCCTGTAACTACATCTTTAAATAGACAAGTTATGAATGGTTATTCACGAGTGTTATAACCAAGGTTGTGACACCTCTACTAGGCTGCTGATTGGACTATATCCGACAAAAGTCGGGCTCCAAAACGGGCTCTACAAAACCAAGGGTCTGATCGTTAGAAAGGGAGAAGAAGAGAGAGGGAAGGGGATGGTGTGTGGATCTTGAGATAGGTATTTTTAATGGAATTTGACTATTTGAGTTTTTAATATATATAAGTTAGTACATTCCATTTCAGTCACTAAATTTCTATTTTATATGTAAATATATTTAGAAAAAGTGTAAAACGGCTCAAACAAGTTAGACCTTAATCAAATCATTAAGTTTCAAACCACTTGCTTGACCGGCTCAATGACTTAAATCGATTTGACAAATTAATTTTAGCCATTAAGATTACAATGTCCACAATTGATGAAAATTTGTAAGAATTTCAAAAATGGAAAAAGAATTTCGATATCACGTTAATGTCATACGAAATTTAACATTTCTAATAATTTAAAATTTAAATACACATAATAAATACATTATTATACATTGTGTTCAAATGACATTTCGACCAACGGGATCAGACAACAAGCTATGAGAAATCAACACTATCTTTGTTAGATTTCGTTTAAATCTACTTTGACCTTTTCCTTTTTTTTTCCATTTCCTATTGTGGTGAAAAAGCCTATTTTGCCCTGGAGGAGCTCCGGCGCCACATAGGCTGAATCCATCGGGCTTGTGGGAGAGAAGCCCTAATCCTGATTACACAGAAGGGTTTCGGCAGCCAATGCAGCACAGTGATTACGTTCCTGGCGGTAATTATATTAAATGGTGGTATGTTGGTGAATTAGATAGGAGCAATCTAAATTAGATAAGAGGCCTAGGGTTGATTCAATCGGATCGATTGAGTCTAAATGCGAAACCAATCTAAATTCTGCGATGTTGTCGTTCGACGATGAGCGTAGGTTGAAACTGATTCGCAATCCAGGTGGGGTCTCCGATGAGTAAAAGACTTCAGATTTTGATGGAAAATGGCAGCAGGATAGCAGGGCAGGCCACCGAATGGCGATTCGATTGCTCGGTACAGTTCGTTTCAGCCAGATATTTTGATGGCAATTCGGGTCACAACCGCTATCCCAATTCCAATGTTATCACTTCACTGGGCAATCTATTATGAATTTGGGAACCCTCTGCCTCAGTCATTTAATGGGATGGCGGATCAGTGACAACCAGGTTACCCGCCGCACCATGAGAGGTTTTGCACCTCCGCTGCCAGCTTCTCTGCCGCTGCCTCTTCCGAACGACAGTTTGAAGGCTCTTTACCGCCAGCAACGCTGTTTGCTATACCTATTAGCTCCCCAGCAACCAGCATTTGCGGCCATAGCAAGCCGCTTCCACATGCTTCAGCTGCCAAAGCGCCTAAGGTGAGTCTAACTCTGCTATTTTGGCTTTGGGAGTGTTCAAATTCTTTCTTGTACCTAATTAACATTGTGTTTCTCCCTTTCTCCGTTGTATTTTACTTGTAGCTATGTAATTATTTTGTTCCTTTCTGTTTCTTGTACATCTGGTCTGCTGAAACTCAATAGATGGTTGCTCACTGTATAAGCTGGAAGTATCCATTGGCTTTCTGTGGTCGTTTGATTCTTCAGTCTTTTTCTTGGTGTCGAACTTGCTGCCATAATTTGAGTTTTTTTTTTGCTGCTAAGCATGAATGCACGATATTCCATAATCTGCAGGTTTATGGTGGCTTACTACTTCTGCTTTTATTTCTTGCATATATGTAATGATAAAATCCACTATGCTAAGATTATGAGAGATATGGAGGTTGAAGGTATGCTCCACGGATTCACTCAATGGATGATTATTCCATGGCCGGGGTTGGTTTGGTTTGTCCCATCCTTTGAGGTTAGAGCATCTGTGGTTAGAAATATCTATCACCAACCTGTTCACCATTCCCTTACAATATCATCATCATGTCAGTTGGCATCTTCCGTGCAACTTGAAATAGTTGCAGAAGGTGGAAAAGAAAGAGAAGGACGAAAGCGACAAATCAACCATTATTTCATTTCTCCCCTCGTTTTGAACATGAAAGGAACTGAGCAAAGACAAGAAAAATATCAGTCATTTCCCCCCCAAGAAACATCCAAACAAGGCTTCTCCTCCTCTCCTAAAGGAAAGCAAAAGTACTGATAAGAGAGAAACACAGCAGAGCCAAGCAGCAGCACCATCAAACTTCAAGTCCCAACAATGGCGGACTTCCCCATCTCTCCAGTAGCCCAATCATCACAATCCATCACTTCACCATACAAATTCGTTTCCAGCTTCACAAATTTCCAACTTCACTCTATAGCCCCCACAAGATCCAAGCTTTTCTTGGCCGGAACCACGATTCCACGCTCCAGAAGAGCAAAGAAACATTTATCTGTCAAAAACGTCGCCAGTGATCAAAGCCATGAGCTCAAAGACGCCATCTCCCATCAAGAAGGTCGTTCCTTTACCCCTCCCCTGTTTTCTCTTCCGCTAATGGGTCCTCAATTCATGTTCTGTTTTCTTTGCTTCCTTTTTTTTTGTCTTGCAGCCAATGCTCTGGAAGATTTCGTTCCGGATTCGTCGTCAATTGCTCTAAGCATCAAGTACCATGCCGAATTCACCCCGTCATTCTCCCCTGAAAAGTTCAAGCTTCCAAAGGCTTACGTGGCAACGGCGGAGAGTGTTCGTGATTCGCTCATCATAAACTGGAATACAACTTACGAGTACCACGAGAAGATGAATGTGAAGCAGGCTTATTACTTATCCATGGAGTTCCTTCAGGTCTCTGGCTGAACTGAACAGGGGATAACCTAAAAAAATAAGAAAGCCTCAAAGCTTTTGTTAACTTCAATGGAGTTCCTAACCTTTGTGTCTAACAATGGCAGGGTAGAGCGTTGCTGAATGCTATAGGCAACCTAGAGCTAACTGGTGCTTACGCGGAGGCTCTGAAGAAGTTAGGATATTCCCTCGAAGATGTAGCTAAACAGGTTAGAGCCATTCTCCTTCACCACCAAAATCCTAGCTAGTGAACAGAGAAACAGAACAAATGGCACAAAAAGTTTGAGTGACACAAGGATAAGTTAACATTTCCTGCACAGTGAAAAAATATTTTATATTAATTCATTAACGTTCGTTTTTGCCTTGGCTAGAAGGAGGGCTTGAACCCTTACAAAAAAGGGGAGGGCTTGAACCTCAGTCCTTGTGATTAACAGCCACACACTCTAACCTAACTAATTGAACTGTTCCAGCTAATTACATTAATTAAATGTTCAACGTTGTATTCTCAAAATTTCATGTGGAAAATTGGATAAATTGCAGGAGCCAGATGCAGCACTTGGAAATGGAGGATTAGGCCGCCTAGCATCCTGCTTTCTAGACTCTCTGGCCACACTAAACTACCCAGCTTGGGGATATGGGCTAAGATACCGATACGGCTTGTTCAAACAGCTGATTACCAAAGATGGACAGGAGGAAGTTGCAGAAAATTGGCTTGAGGTAACAAACTTTCAACTCAGCTTTTGTTTTATCTTGATTTTCCCTCCAACTTTCTCCATATTGATAATTTTCAATCATTCTGCTTTTGAAGGGCAGATGGGCAATCCATGGGAGATTGTGAGAAACGATGTTTCCTACCCAGTGAAATTCTACGGTCAAGTGAACACAAACACTGATGGAACCAAAGAATGGGTTGGAGGGAGGAAGTAACTGCAGTTGCTTATGATGTTCCAATTCCTGGGTATAGGACCAAGACGACAGTAAACCTGAGGTTGTGGTCCACGAAGCTTTCTCCTCGAGATTTCGATTTGCATGCTTTCAACGTTGGAGATCATGCCAAAGCATATGCAGCAATGAAGAGTGCTGAAAAGGTATACCCAATAATTTCTGTCAACCTTTTTTTGGTTAAGTGACGTTGGCAGCAAAATTGAATTCTTACTGTGTTTGCCTCTGGAGTGTTTCAGATTTGTTACGTGTTGTACCCTGGGGACGAGAGCCGAGAAGGGAAGACTCTTAGGTTGAAGCAGCAGTATACGCTTTGCTCTGCATCTATTCAGGACATAATAGCTCGATTCGAGAGGAGATCAGATGGAGGAGAAGAAAAAGAAGAAGGTCCAGTGAATTGGGAAGAGTTTCCTGAGAAAGTTGTTGTTCAGATGAACGACACTCACCCAACGTTATGTATTCCTGAGCTCATCAGAATCTTGGTGGATGTCAAAGGCTTGACCTGGAAGCAAGCTTGGAATGTCACTCGAAGGTATATTGAAATCAGAAAAATAGTCTCTGAAATTGCAACAAATTCTGGAACTTGAAAAGGTTGTTTTTTTCCCTCACAGAACTGTTGCATACACAAACCACACGGTTTTGCCGGAGGCTCTTGAGAAATGGAGTTTGGACCTTGTTCAAGAGTTGCTTCCAAGACATGTTGAGATAATTAAGCAGATCGACGAAGAGGTGAATAACTAAACTATCTTGATTCACTAAATTCGCTGCAGCAATATTTTGCTTTCCCTTTCATGTGGTTCATATTTTATGGTTTTGGTCATGGGGGGAGCAGCTGATACACATAATCATAGAGAAATATGGAGCCGCAGACGTTGACTTGTTACACGAAAAGCTTGAGGAAATGAGGATTCTTGACAACATTGAGTTGCCTGGATCAGTTCTGGACCTGTTAATGAACTCTAAAGAACAAGTGGTTTCATCCGCATTAACAATTGAAAGTTCTGAAGAAGAGGTAAAAAAAACTAATCAGCAAGAGGAAGATGGTGAAGCAGAGGAAATCGAGCAAGGCGAAAATGAGTTGAAGCTGTTTATACCAGACCCAACACAGCCAAAGTTGGTGAGAATGGCAAATCTCTGTGTAGCAGGTGGTTTCTCGGTTAATGGAGTGGCTGAGATCCATAGTGAGATTGTTCAGAATGAAGTGTTCAATGGGTTCTACAAGGTGAATGATTAATGAATGAATGGTTCACTTTCTGTTTCTTTTCGCCTTCAGGTTGTTTTTTAGCAGGGTTGATGTAGTTTCTAGTATACTGTGTGTTCAGTTGTGGCCTGAGAAGTTCCAGAACAAGACTAATGGTGTGACACCAAGGAGATGGATTCGGTTCTGCAACTCTGACCTCAGCAGCATAATAACTAAATGGATTGGGACGGAAGATTGGGTTTTGGACACTGAGAAACTAATGGAACTCAGAAAGGTGAGTAAGTGTGTATATTTTCAGAATAAATGGATATGAGGTTAATGGGTTGAACTGATAAGGTGCTTGTAAGAATACACAGTTTTGAGAGTTATGATAGTAATTCAATTGGCATCAATAACAACTTGTATTTTCGACTACGACCTACCTCCACACATCAAACGAACACATAACACAGATATCTCCAATTTCTGTTACTTCGCCCCTGCAGTTTGCAGACAACGAGGATCTCCAATGGGAATGGCGGGAATCGAAGAGGAGGAACAAGGTGAAGGTGGCAGCTTTCTTGAAGGAAAAAACAGGATACACAGTGAGCCCAGATGCAATGTTCGATGTCCAGGTGAAGAGGATCCACGAGTACAAGAGGCAGCTGTTGAACATCCTAGGGATCGTTTACAGGTACAAGAAAATGAAAGAGATGATGGAAATCAGCAGCCCTGAAGAAGTGAGGTCAAAGTTCGTTCCCAGGGTTTGCATCTTTGGTGGCAAAGCTTTTGCTACTTATGTTCAGGCCAAGAGGATTGTCAAGTTCATTACAGATGTTGGTTCCACCATCAACCGTGACCCGGATATCGGCGACCTCCTAAAGGTACTTATCTAGACAATCACCAAACAATTATTCATACGGTATTAAGTCAAGAGATTTTGTACGCGACTACTGATATATTTCAATGTCAATAGCTAATTTAACCATAGAATATCGCATGCTACCTATGTAAACTTCAGATTCAGAGGGTCGGCACTACCTTCCAAGCTAATATGATAGGAAATTGTATAAGATTCATGGTTGACTTTATATAACTTCCTCGCACACATGATGTGTTAGGTCGTATTTGTGCCGGATTACAACGTAAGCGTGGCGGAGGTGTTGGTACCAGGGAGCGAGCTGTCGCAACACATAAGCACGGCGGGAATGGAGGCCAGTGGGACTAGCAACATGAAATTCGCGATGAACGGCTGCATCCTGATTGGGACATTGGACGGGGCTAACGTGGAGATCAGGCAAGAAGTCGGAGAAGACAACTTCTTCCTCTTTGGTGCACAGGCCCACGAAATTGCTGGGCTGAGGCAAGAAAGAGCCGAGGGGAAGGTAAGTTGAAGTTCGATCAAACTTGCTTCAGGTAGTAATGATTTCAGTTTCATGTGATCGTTCTCTTTCCCTGTAGTTTGTGCCAGACCCACGGTTCGAGGAAGCGAAGGCTTACGTGAGAAGTGGTGTGTTCGGGACGTACAACTACGATGAATTGATGGGATCATTGGAAGGGAATGAAGGGTATGGACGAGCTGATTATTTCCTGGTTGGCAAAGACTTCCCGAGCTACATCGAGTGCCAAGAACAAGTTGACTTGGCTTACAGAGACCAGAAGGTGCAGTTGCTCGGCTAGCCATACTTGCTCAGAGTCTTTGAGTTGTTGCATGGACGTGTTAATTTCGTTAATGTGATTGATGAATGATTTTGTGTTTTGTCTGAACTACGTTGGTGCAGAGATGGACAAAGATGTCGATCTTGAACACGGCTGGATCTTTTAAGTTCAGCAGCGACAGAACCATTCATCAGTACGCAAGGGATATATGGCAGATCGAACCTCTTCATCTTCCTTGAGTAAGTTTGAGCTCTTTTTTGTACTAGAGAAAGGAGGGACATAACAGAATAAAATGTCTTCGTGTGTGTCCTACATTGTAGATTCGTGTGGACTTTGTCACGTTGATGATCTAGGCTTTGATCATAGAATGATGTTGTTGGTTCACGAATCTGAAAGCTCGACTTCTTGTTGAATATTTCAGGGCCATGTCGATTGTTTGCTCCCTTATGTACATGTTGGAGATCAGATAGTAGTTGCAAAAGGATTGGAAACAATCCGCGTCGCAGAAGGATTTGAAGACATGCGCCAAAAACTCAAGTTTGAATTTGACTATGTGCTTTTTGTTAAAATTGTGTCATGTTGATTCAATTTATCCTTTAACGATGTGCGTTTGTGTCAGTTAAGTTCCGAGAGTAGTTAGTTTTCAGTTTGCAACTGATTAGGTAGTTCGAAGCTACCCTCTGTAGAAACATGTGCTTTGCTCCACCAATCGGTCTCTAATGAATTATCAAGGAAAAAATTGGTCTCTAATGGGTGGTTTTCACAATTATCTCAAAATTTTTGATGGGTCGGGAATCCTTATCAATCAAAACCTCTTCCCAAACTGTACAAGCTTCTTCCAAAGCATACGACTTTTCGGGTGTAGATGATATCTATACAGATGGAGCCTATATATCGTAAAATGAAGTAAAGTACTTCATGAGTGGATATATAGGAATCAAAATCTGCCGAATCAGTCATGTTATGCTCTTCTACATCCTAGGTCTTCCCGTTCCTTCATCTGGCTTATGTTCTTCATGTAGCACTCAGACTGAATGACTCTATGAAATTACGTCGATACTTCCACATATATATTAGGGGTAACGTAGGAGACATCTCTATTTTTCCACCAGGAAATCTTTCAAATTACCACTGCTTAGCTTTCAATTCGCCTCTGACCATCAAATGAAATGTGAATAACCCGTACATAAATGGGCTCAATAATTGAAAATTGTTTTCGGTATAGAACACTCATGGTGAAAACGAAAAAAATTGGAACCCATTTTTGGTTTCAAAAAAAAAAAGCTGAATCGATAACCTAGGCATAACCTCCACCGATTATAATGTCATTCTCAGTCACAAAATTATGCACTATCTCAACAATAATCGGGTTGGTTGGGACTGTTTCACGACCTCCAAACTAGATATGGAGAAAACTTATGAGAAAATTGTATGACAATGCTTATTCCAGCTCGTACTAAAGAGACGAGGTTTGACCCTTGATGGATATAGTTTATTCTGAAATGCCTGACCAACACCTTCATCTCAGTTTTGTTGAACTGTGCTCCTTATGGCTATTTCTTCTCCTTTCTGGGCATTCGACAATGAGTATTCATATTCTTCGTTTTTATTCTCGATTTGTACGAAGGTTCTTTTGGCCCTCACCTCTAGTGTTGTTGGGATGCTCGTTGAGATATCAAAATTAATTGTCCTTACCGACAATTTCCCACCTATTTTTTTTTTTTTTTTTGCGTGCTTCCAATATGGACTACTAGGCTCTGATGAACTTGCTCCGTCGGCATGACTGCATGAGCATATGAGTGGTCGAAGGGTCAACTTAGCCAAATTGGCGATTATGTTTTCCAAGAATGCAATTGAAACGAAGAGTGCGGCAATGATGATTATTTTTCAATGTTGGCGGTCGTCGAGAAACTAGTCTCGAGTGCTATAACTGTTCCACGGGGAGCCTTTCTTCGAAATTTCAACAATTACTATTTCAGGCCTTTTCTTTCGTTCGCGTTATATTTCATGTAATGTAAATAGGATTATCAATATGGTCAGCGGCGGATCTATGACATAATAGAACATAGGGCCACATTTGAATGAAATATTAGATATTGTAAACAAAAATATATAATAACTGTAGTTTTCATTAAAATGCCAATTGGATCTCCATCCATACCAATAGCATACTCTCTCTCAAAGAAAATAGCTAACCAATCAACGAGAAATTCATCGTTCATTTTGCTGCAAAAATCAGTTTTAACATGTTCCGTTGCTGAAAATGTTCTCTCCGTGGTAGCCGTTGAAATAGGCAAGGTCAACACTAGACGAATCAACCGACAAATCAATTCATATTGTGTGTCCATCCCAGTTTCTTCCAACTTCTCTAGTAATTTTGCATGAGAAGAAACATTATCTTCATCACATGAGTGACATAATATCGTAGATCATTCTCCATCTCATATACTTCAAAATCTCGTGGCTAAACTCTTAAGCAAGTTTGTAAATATTTTCTTCATCGAAAGACCGCAAAGAACGATTAGGATCTAGTGCAAAGCTCAACCAAGTCAATCTAAATAATGACTCAGCAAGTTTGTAAATATTTTATTAATCAAAAGTCTGAAAAGAAAACCAGCGACCGACGGACTGGCGGTTGAATCCATTTCAGGTCCGTTCATCCCCTTGTTCTTGTTTTGTTTTGCTGGGATTGGGAAAAGTTTTTGAGTTTTGCAGGGAAGGGTGAGCTTTAGTTTGAGGGGTTTTCAAATTTTATTTCCATGAAACTTTATATTTTTATACTTGTAGGTTTTAATGTCTTTTTTTCAAATAAATATAATTACGACTAGAAATTTTAGTCTAAATTTAGATTAGTGGTTTGGATAGGGTAAATGACAAGGTTGGTCACTGAGATTACTAAAAAAGTTCATGTTTGATCACTAAAAATATTTAATTCCATACAATTTTTCTCGGTTTGGATATGTTCATCTGAACCATTCCATCCCTAGATCTGCCACTTAATATGCTCATGTTTGTACACCCTCCTTTAAAGACTTGAAAGTTTTAGTATTAATGTTGTAATTTACCCTCATCTGATCCAACTCCAATACGCGAATGTTCTGCCTGGAGTTGCGTATAAATACATCAGATCGAAAAGAAAAGCTTCCGGCAGGATTCCCGTTAACGCCGGTCGCTCATCTTCAGTGTCAACGACATTTTAACTGTCTGCACCTGCTTGGCTGCTTCCCCTGCCTCTTCCTTAGATCCTCAACCAATCGTATCGGTGAGTTCAGAGCTCGATCCATGGATCATCAATGGCGGCCAGTCCCGCCTCCCCATTCTCAGCCCAACATCTGCACTGTTTGCTCCGCTTCCCATTACCCGTTCTGCAACCCGTACCCACACGCTCCGCCGCCACTGCCACCGCCACCGCCACCGCCACATCATTATCCTCCGTTCAACCATAACCCTGGATTCCCTCCGCAGCAATATTTTTCTTGGCCGGACCCTTATCATGGAGCAGCTCCAGCCCCAGCCCCATATATGCCGATTCCACCAGGCTTGTGGGAGAGAAACCCTAATCCTGATTACGGGGAAGGGTTTCGCCCGCCAATGCAGCATAGTGATTACGGTTCTGGCAATAATTATGCTAATGGTGGTAATGGCTATGTTAGTGAATTAGATAGGAGCAGTAAGAGGCCTAGGGTCGATCCAATCGGATCGACAGAGTTTAAGGGCGACACGAATCCAAATTCAGCAATGTTTTCATTCGACGACGAGCGTAGATTGAAGCTGATCCGCGATCACGGTGGTGTCTCCGGCCACGATAAGAATACCGATTTTGATGCAAATGGTGGCAGGATAGCAGGGCCACCGAATGGAGATGCGGTTGGTCGCTACAGTCCGTTTCAGCCTAATGTTCATCATGACCCAGGGAGTAGAAATGGAGATGTCAATTTGGGTCATAATCGCTATCCCAATTCCAATGTGATCACTGGGCATTCTAATATGAATTGGCAGAACCATCAGCCTCAGTCAATTAATGGGATGGCTGATCACAGAGGAAACGGAGTAAGTAACGGGTATGGTGCTTCGATCTTGAATGAACAAAGAGTTTACCCGCCGCACCATGAGAGGTTTGCACCTCCTCTGCCAGCTTCTCCGCCGCCACCTCTTCCCAACGAGATGTTCAACCGCTCTTCACCGCCAGCAACGCTGTTTCCCATACCTATTAGCTCCCCAGCTACCAGCATTTACGGCCATAGTAAGCCGCTTCCACGTGATTCAGCTGCTTATGCGTCTGAGGTGAGACTTAAGTCTTTTATTTTTTCTTTGTTGATTGTTCAAACTGTTTCTTGAACCTAATTAGCCTTGTGTTTCTCCTAATGTTTCGTCAGCGCCATGGAGATCACCAAGCCTTTGCAAGGAAGGAGTTATCTCCACCGGGGCCAATGATTGTAGATGCTTCTCACATTTTTAAGCAGCCTTATCGTGCTAATCGTCCTGATCATATCGTGATCATACTTCGTGGGCTTCCTGGTAAGCTAATGTTAGCTTTAACTCTCTTTGTTTCTCGGTTTCTCTTTGTTGTGTTTTCTGCGAGCTGGTGCATTAAATTAGTAGTTAAGTATAACACAGATTGCGTCTGCTTCTGGTTGCCGTTTGTTGTCTTTCCTTTCTCCATTTTATATTACTTGTAGCTATGTAATTATCTTTTTTTCCTTTCTGTTTCTTGTATGTCTGGTCTGTAGAAACTGAATAAAGGGTCCTCATCATATGTTTGTTCTTAGTATAATCTGGAAGAATCCATTGGGCTTCTGTGGTTGTTTGATTCTTCAGTCTTTACTATGGTGTCGGACTTGCTGCCAAAAAAAAAAAGAGAGAGGGAAAATGTATCATATGGTTTGAGTTTTTGTTGCGAAACATGACATTCCTTCTGCTGGAGTATGGTGGCTTACTACTTCTGCTTTGATTTCTTGCATATAGGCAGTGGTAAAAGTTACTCTGCAAAGATGATGAGAGATATGGAGGTTGAAGGTGGTGGTGATGCTCCACGAATTCACTCGATGGATGATTATTTCATGACCGAGGTTGAGAGGGTAGGTGTGAAACATTTTGCTCATTCTTCCTTAACCAAAGTTGTGGATTTTGAAGCCGATTTTGTTGTCCCATATTTTGAGCTTTGAGCATCGTTGTTAGAGATACTGATGATTTTTTTTCCCCCACATAGAAGGTGGAAGAGAGTAATGTTTCAAAGTCATCTAACTCAACCAGACACAAGAAACAAATTGTCAAGACGGTTGTGGAGTATTGTTATGAGCCGGAAATGGAAGAGGTGATGCTACTTCCAAAATCATACTTTATTCAAGTATTAACTTAGTCTTCATATGTGTGTGCTTTTTCAGTATTAGCATTTATGACATTTTCCTTTTTGGACATGGAAAACTCCCATATTTTCTCATGTGCTGAGGGCTGATGACCATCTCTTTGGTGTTGCCTCCGTGTAGCTTAGTTTTTCTAGAAGTTGATCATAGACTGATCAAATGGTTTTGGCTGCAGAATACTTTAGAGAACATTTCCTTAATGACTTCCCTTCTAACTTTCATAATAATAGAATCTTTGCCTGCGGCAGAAATGAGATTGCTCAGTTGCTTTTCTATTCTCGATCACTGTTTAGCATCTCCTTCGAATTCTAGCTTAGTTGGTCTATTTTGATCTTCTTATAGCTTAGCAATAATTTCCTAACAGCTTCTTATGCACAGTGGTTATGTTTTGCTGTCTGGAATTACTTTGATCATTATGTGAATGATGGGTGATGATTACAACACATGTAACTGTGGAATACTAGCTTCCATTTGTTAGATCCTTATTGCTTATTACTTTTTTCTCCAATGTTGGTGTGTTTAGGTGTATCGAGAAAGCATGCTGAAAGCATTCAAGAAAACCCTGGAAGAGGGGTCTTTCAGGCTAGTGATTGGTATGGTAGTTCCTTTTCTCCCCTACTTCCTCTAACCCCCAATTTTAAGTACCGAGGTTTTGTTAAAGTCATAATGCTTTACATCTTTTATCTTTATGAGAAGTCCTTTTAAACTATTGGCAGCATTGATATACTTGGTTACCTTGAAGTATTTTCAGCGTGATACCTGTTAATCTGTTATGCAATATCTATAGCTGTATTTTATTTCTCATAGTCACTGTGCTTATTGGTTGTTGCCTGAGATTGAGATGCTATTTGTTCGAAGTGCACTTCTGGACGGCGAAGCAAGTTGTTTACCAACCCAGGCATACCTCCTGTATAAATTGCTTTGTGTTTCAGAGAGTATTAATTTATAAAGTATGCAAGAGAAGTTAAACTATCTCCTATGCCTTAAATGTGATTTGCTATGTATTAGAACATAGGCTTCCAAATTAATTAAACCTTAAAGATCTTTCTAGAAATTCTGACTTGTTAAGCGTTCATTGAGTAAAATGATGTAGTATGATTTAGATTTAGTGGTGTGAATCATGTGATGCAGTGCTTTCGCACTGCTTTCAGTTTCACTAACAACAGATGCAGTTTTGTTCGGCAAACAATTGACCTTTTTGTGCTGGTATATGTGCTTCGTCTTAGTGGATGACCGCAATCTGCGGGTAGCTGATTTTGCTCAGTTTTGGGCAATCGCAAAGGTATACCCTCACTTCTCTCCCCTCGCAAAACTCTGCCCGTGTATGTGTTCTCTATGTTGAGAGCTGCAGGTCATCCTTTCTGTTTGTAGATCTTCTTGTAGTTGGTTGTAGACAAGAGTGCACTAGTCTCTCTATTCCCCTTTATCTGCTTGATGGTGAAAGGATATGTCATGAATGATTGTTTGTCCTGTTCAATTGATATTTTCAGGCTCTTGTTATTTTCTCTATTTCCAAGTTAAATTGGAAAGACTTCTATTTTAGATTCTGGTACTATTATCCTTCTATTGGTCATTTAAACTCACAAAGGATCATATCTCATATATTTCATTCTTAGTTAAGCTTTTGTTTGCCTTTTTTCCCATCACTTTATTTGTGCTATGCTCAGATAGGGATTGGTTATATTGTTGCTACATATGGGCAAAATTCCACTTAGCTTTGGTTTGTGACATTGACTTGATTATGTTTGACCATTTCCCCTTGGCTTGATTCCTGGAATGTCTTCTGCATTTACTTCATTTTGACCATTGTACGATCATTACAACTGTACGGGGACAGTGATTTTTGGGTTAAGTACTATATTTTGTTTGCTTTTGGACCTATGCCACCCTCTTTGTATTCTATTTGGAACATGAGGAGGTTATCAATTGAAATTTATGTTTTGCACCCTTTATTTTGTTTTGTGGCACAGTTACATTCAGCTTGCTGGAATGTCTTCATTTAATAAAAATCCTGTTGGAATGTCCTTTTCCTTCTTCTGCAGCCCATTGCTATATTGTACTTTGTAGTGTGATGTAGTTCTCCTTGGTTTGGTTCAAATATGTATGGTACAGAAAATCCATTGCACTTCTTCTTTTTCCTTGGTTCCTGTGAATTGAAGATGAAAGCCAAAGGCAACATACGGGGAATGGTTATCTGAGTTGTTTATAAACTCTTTTGGTTAAGGCCCTCTTTCATAGAATTTATTTTCATTCTTAATGGGGGTGATGCTAAAATTGTATAGTCGCTATGCTATTTTAGTTGGCTTCCTTGCTTATCATTTTCTTTCTCTTTCTACAGAGGTCGGGCTACGAGGTGTACATATCAGAAGCTGCATATAAGGATCCTGCGGTGAGTTTGACATCTAATCTAGTTTGTGTTCGTGATTGATATGGCATGTACGATTTGTCATTTGAATTTATGCTCTTGGTAGTTAATTGAACTATTGCTAATGATCAACCTTCTTAGAATGTGAAGTGAAGTTTCTTGCTGGTATAGTGGCGTTTACTGATTTTTGTTCATCATCATAGGGTTGTGCTGCTAGGAATGTGCATGGTTTTACCTTGGACGGCATACAAAAAATGGCTGGGCAATGGGAAGAGGCTCCATCTATGTATATGAAACTTGATGTCAAGGTCGGTTTTCTATCTTCATTTGAATGAAGTAAATTGAGGAGTTGGCCTTCCACCTATTGTTCTCTAATTGTCTCTGGAGTTCCATTAATAGAATCTTCAGTCTTTCACATTTGCTCCTTTTAACTTATGTTCCCTTTGTTGCTGGATTCTTTATTGTCTAATGGTGTTGCTTATCCGTGTGAACAGTCATTATTTAATGGAGATGACTTGAAAGAAAATGGAATCCAAGAGGTAATTATTCCTCATTATCCTTGGCATTTCTCTGCGTGACAAAGCAGTTTTTACGTTTCCTATCCCTTGTTCATGTATTGTCATGGATGGCCTTTACACAATTCTGTGACGGATAGGTTTTGATTTGATGTATGTTTCTTTACCTGTCAATTGTTCAGTTTGATATGGATACTGAGGATACAGAGGAGAATCAGTCATCACAACTTCAAGTAGGGCTTCCTGAAAAGACTGTGGTTCCCTCAGTAGGGGAGGGCATAGCTCATGGTAAATACTTACATCCTTGATTTATGCTTTCCTGCATGGAACTATGAATTTATGCTTCCATCAGGAATTGATAGTTTCCAAATTGGTTTATTATTTGAAGCTTCAGTTTCTTCGAAAGACGTGAAACCTCGGGACGGTGAAGAGGACCAAATGGTGGGAGTAAAAGAGCTTGGTAAAAGTAAGTGGTCAGAAGATTTTGATGAGGATGATAGGAAGGGACATGGAGATCTTAAGGGTAAAAGTGCAAATGCTCTTTCTGGATTGATTCAAGCTTATGGGAAAAAAGGAAAATCTGTGCATTGGAATGATCAGGTTAGTGTTGCCTAGCTGATCTAAATTGTTTAGCAACAAATGCCTCAAACATGCTTTTCTGCCTGATAAATACAAAAGGAGGCTACTTGATGATCCTGTCAATCATGCTTGCTGAGGTGTTCTTGTTGTTCAGATGGCCAATACTGGGTTCTCCATAGGCGCAGTGAAGAAAGCAAATATGCATTCCCTTGTTATTGGCCCAGGGGCTGGTTATAACCTGGTAAGTTGCCCCGTTTGGCCTCCTCTAGTGTCTTCAACTTATAGGGCGTGTTTGTTTCGACTTAGAAGCTCTTCCCAAGAGCTAGATCAATAACACGAGTTTTTCGGTTTTGGTTGGGAAACTTGCAGAAGTCAAATCGATTGCCTGAAGACGAGAGTTTGACAACAATAACAGGGCAGAGTAGTAGTAGGAAGACGAGGAGGCAGAGTGGATTCCAAGAGCGGCTGCGGGCTGAGCAGGAATCCTTCAAAGCTGTTTTTGATAGGCGTAAACAGCGGATAGGCGTACTTGATTTCGACGAAGAATAACCTTTTCTGATCCTGTCCAGTGATTCGTTGTTGTAACGGTAATTGTAGTTTTCAGTTTTCTTGAGGGTCCTTGTTCATTCACGTCTCTTGTAATAGGAACTTTGTCTCCAAATCGGAACATCACCCCAATTGTTCCGCTGGTGAAGAGGCTCTGTATTTGTAAACACAAACTGAAAACCAAAAATGTAATTCCTTTGAATGAAAGAAAATTGTGGGATTCAAATTATATTATCATCCAAAATGGTTGCGTAACTTCGAGCTTGTAACAAAATAGTCATTTCCGTTCATCTCTGTCAAACATTTCGCCTAAATTGGTGTCTCCTACATTCAACCAAGAAGAAGATAGAGCGCCACTTAAATTTGAAAGGCCTATGAAAATTTTCAGCCGTGAAACATGTCAGCCCATACCCAATAATCATCATAAATATATCTGTTGAAGGTTACAGACAGAGACACCCTGCATTTCGACGCTTACTGCAATCTGCTCTGTTCTCCCCAATCCTTCAAAGCTCATCGCCTAGCCTCTAATCAAATTTTTTTTGCTTTCCCAAGTTGTTAGGATGATAATGGAAGTTGCTGGCCCTACTATGAGAAAGCCTAGTTTCATTGACTTGGAACCACCATCACCACCAACTGTAAAGTGCAGCAGAGTTTCCTCCGCTTGCCCTGTTTTCCGGCGGCGGCGGAACCAACCGGCCGCCCTTCATCTTTCCCGCCAAGTAAGTATGACGATTAAGTTTTGTTCTCTGCAAACTAGACGGAAGCCGTTGTATTGATATATCAAATGGGAATTAATTTTACAGAGGTGTCATTATAACTCCTCGTGCTCCCAGTCCATGAACGGATGCCATCTGGAGCAATTATGGGACACCGCCGGCCGAGGATTAGCCGCCGTTCAAACGGTGGAAACTCGGACTCTTCCGGCGGCCATAACTCCTGCATTGGCTCTGGACACCCTCAACTCCGCCATTCATGACTTGGAAGCCAATCCCCCAGCTTCGTCTTCTTCTTCTGGGATTATACGGATGCAGGTAACGGTTCCGAATTGTGGCCATTTTGTTGCTTCGTGGCGGAATCACATTTCTCTTTTTCTTATCTGATGCTGACGATGACGATGAACTGAGAATGGGGGCAGTGGACGGGGAGAAATGGGTTGGCGCCACGTGGTTGACTAGTATTGGATGGCGAAATAACTCTCCTTATCCCTGTCCTCTCTCTCTCTCCCGTCCATTGCTTGAGTAGTTATTCTGCGCCTATCCTCTGTTTCTCAACCCAAGGGCCAAGAGCCCAAGAGTTCGTAGGCAATTATAATTTTTAGGAAATAATTTGTGTTTTTTTTTTGTAAAGGAAATAATTACTAATTTTTGTTACAACGCTGATATACATTTGGTTTAATTAAGTTTTATTTAAATGATTTGAATCTGAAGATCAGTAATATTACCACGGGATCAAGTTCTTGTCCTCAAATAATTACCGATTTAAACTTAGAAAAGAAATGATGCTTGTCAAACTCTAAGATGAAGTTTACTAGATAATTTTTTTTGGGTAAGAATATTATTGATTAATGGTGTCTGTCCAAATAGGTGGTATACCAAGAGTAATATTATTGTTTAATTGTTAGTACTTAGAACTTTAATGTGCTTATATAAATTGATCAACATAAGTGTTTTTTAATTCTATATGAATTTGGTTGGTAGTAGGTGATTTTCGATCCGACTAATTCAATGCATCACATTAATAGATTGTTTGAAAAAATGAGATAACTTTACGATTCATAGAAATTATTGATTCGAAAGAAATCTATGTTTTTTTTTTCAAATTTAGTCTACTATTGATTCTAATTTGTTAAATTTCACCTTAGCTATCAAAGTATTGACTGATGACGTGTCACTTACACGAAAAGACATGTAGTTGCCACATAATTAGTGAATCAGACACTGACCTTCGTTAGGTCAAAACTGTTAATTCTACTATTCAATAAAAAAATTGGAGTATAAAAATGACATTGAATCTCATAGTTTTGATGTTGATTATTAAAAAAGAACCCATAATTTAGGATATAATTGCCTTTATTAAAAATTTGAGATATAATGCTAACTTGAAATCAGTACTTATTATAGTGGCATTATGGAAAGAGTAATTTCCTCTTCCGGCAATAGTCTTTGCTCAGTTAGCCGAAGCTCATAATCTACTTCATATTGTTGATCCAAAGGTCCCAATTACACAGCAAATCGAAGCAATCGAGTGGCTTTATGCCCAGAACCACCTCCTTCCTCGTTGTTTCTTCTCTGGGAGAAGCCACAGCAAAGATGACGGAACCACAAACCTTATTCTCAATGGAAATGGGAACGGCCTTCATACTCCGGCGCAGCAAAATCTGGTCAGTGTGGCCGGCGTGGGTTCTGCAGTACTCTTCACCCATTCCCACCCTTTCTCCTACAACCACTGGAAGTCCATCAAAAGGTAAAAATTGAAAAGCTCCATCTGACCTTTTTGGTTCCCTCGTATGTAACTCTGGACTAAAGTTCTGTCCTTCACCCTAAATGAAGGTTCCTGTCACCTAAATGCCCGCTGATTCGAGCTTATGGAGCTATTCGATTCGATGCAAGAGCCAATGTGTCCTCTGAATGGGAGGCTTTTGGGTCATTCTACTTCATTATTCCTCAGGTAACATCACTTGTTTCCCTGACTTTTTGTGCTAGGAGGAACTTTTGTGAACAGACTTGATAGGAACTCTGGTGCTAGATTCTGTAATTGACAGGTTGAGTTGGATGAGCTTGAAGGAAGTTCAATGCTTGCTGTTACAATCGCTTGGGATAATGATCTCTCCTGCACATTCCCACAAGCCATTCGCTCTCTTCGAACTACCATGTCTCAGGTCTCCAAAATTGCTTGATTCCGTGTTTCTTCCTGTCACCAAAGCTCTCAACTTTGTTGTGATAGGAATTCCTGTAAATTGTTACAGATCTCTTCGTTTGTTGGTAAGCTGCGTAAAGAAGTTTCTAGAACGTATATTGTGAGCAACAATCATACTCCAAACAAGGCGACGTGGGATCGTGGTGTCAGTAGAGCTTTGAACATAATCAACACAAGCACTTCACCTCTCTTAAAGGTACTGATGCTGCATTGGATGTCACATTCTTACTACAGTTGCTGGCCATTGTAGGTTGATCAAACTTTAGTTGTAAATGACAGGTTGTTCTTGCTCGCAGCACCAGAGTTGTTACCATGGATGATATTGATCCTATAAACTGGTTGGCTTCTCTACAGGTAAGCTACTAATGATTTTCTTTTGTTCCAAAGTCTTCTCCTCTTTGTAATATCTGACAATAACTATAGGTAAGTGCATAAATTTTCAGGTAGAAGGGAAAGATGCTTACCAGTTCTGTCTTCAGCCTCCTGATGCACCCACATTTATAGGCAACACGGTAACTGTTTTAACTGTTTGTTCATTTTCTGAGTTTGGTTACCGGGGTCAAGTTTTGAATGGTAATTAAACCTTGTAATAGCCAGAGCAACTATTCCACAGAAAGGGGTTGGGAATCAGTAGCGAGGCTTTGGCTGGAACTCGAGCTAGAGGTGGATCGACTGCTCTAGATCTTCAGATTGAACTGGATTTGCTCTCAAGGTTTTGTGTACTGAAACACTCTGCTCAAGTTAAGCATTATAATTAGATTTTTTACTCAATCGAATCAATGCTGCAGCCCGAAAGACGACCGTGAGTTCACAATTGTGCGAGATAGCATAAGTCGAAAACTAGAGGTTACTTATCAATTTCGTCCAGTCGTTTGTATGATGCACCTTAAATCAATTTATGCATAATCTCACAAAAACCAGTAAGTTGCTCTCTGCAGGCTGTTTGCAGCAGAATAGTAATCGAACCCAGTAAAGCCATTCGGAAGTTCTCAAGAGTTCAACATTTGTATGCCAAATTGGCAGGCAAGTTAGGATGTGAAGATGATGAGGTGAAGAAATCATAAACTACTTTCATGGCTAATGATTGACATAATAGCATCTTAGCCCCATAATATTTATCATTCGTTTGCCACTTTCCATTTCTTGTTACAGTATGATATTTTGTCTGCACTGCACCCAACTCCAGCAGTTTGTGGATTCCCAGAGGAAGAAGCAAGGTCTCTGATCTCAGAAACTGGTAACTTCCAAGTTACTTGGCTAACATATTTCAACCTTTTGCACATATATATATGCACATGGAATGAAAGTGTATGCAATGGTTGGTCAGAGGTGTTTGATCGAGGAATGTATGCCGGGCCAGTTGGGTGGTTTGGTGGAGGAGAGAGTGAGTTTGCTGTAGGCATCAGGTCTGCCTTGGTAAACAAGGTACACCCTTCTTGAAGTTCATCTCAAAAGGGCTAAGCCATGACCGAACACTCCCTCAATCATCCAATATTTCTTACGATTTCCGGGGTCTTTTTGGCTCTTAGGGCCTTGACGTGCTTATCTATGCTGGCACTGGGATCGTGGAAGGTAGCGATCCATCTCTGGAGTGGGAAGAACTCGAACTGAAGACGTCTCAGGTACTCTCGCACCATGTCAGTAAAATTGAACAGATCATGATAGTGGAAAGCTTACTTGGGAGTTGAAATGTTTTTGGCACAGTTCACTAAGTTGCTAAGGCTAGAGGTTCCATCAAGACCAAAAGTTCCAAACTTGAGAAGAATGGTGTGAGCAAAACAAACCCCTTTCCAAGCATTTCCAGTGAAGAATCAAAAATGAAGCAGGCTGCAAGAAGACCATTGACAATTAAACAGCATCACAGATATGTCTCCACTCCACTATCTGATTCTTTTGGTTCTTGAGATTGTAACAACATTGGCATCAAAATCAAGTATGCAAAACGCAAACAGAGAAGTAGAGTATTAAAGAATAACATATTTTTACATTGCTTTTCGCAGCAGCACGAAAATGGCTGCTTAATCAAATAATCAATTAATACTTATACAGAAAAGATGTGGTTGGGTGGTGATTCAACAACATAGCATATATAACTACAAGAAAACTGGGGGAACATCAACTTCCCCTCTGCTCTCAACCCTAATACGTCAACTAAAGGCCTCTGTTTTCCCCTTCTTCTCCACGCAAGATCGAATTTCTCAGGACGACGAGAGACCTCAACGCATTCCTTCAAGAGTCCAAAACTTTTTTATTCTTTAACAGGGCCTGTTAACCGCGCAGTCGAGCGCACCCGCACTTCGGGTCATCCGACTCGCAAACTTGCCATGCTGAGCCTTGATCGTAGTCTTTTGGTCCAACCTACAAATCGGTCCACCCGATTGGATGAAAATGGCCCCGTTGTCCAACAAATCCTCCTCCGACCTCCAATTCCACGACTTCCAAACGCTCTCCGGCGTGTACTCCCTCTTGGTCACCTCTTTGCAGGCCGCATTGGGCGGGGCGATGAACCGGTTCCCCTGGCTGAGTATGGTCGGGTTCGAGTTCCCGCCCACGGCGTACATCTCCCAGTGGGTGTAATCATTGTTGACCACGTGGGCGAACCCGAACCGCAACCTGGGCATGCGCTGGACCAAACCGCGGCCGAAATGGTTGAACGCCAGGGTGATCTGCATGACCTTGTCCTGGGTCTCCTCGTCGCTGGCCCCGAACAGCATGACGTCGTTGTGGCGCGTGAAGTGGCAGTTGGAGATGGTGACGGCGGTGGACTTCATGATGACGTCGATGAGGCCGTCGGCGCAGTTGGACATGGAGAGGTGGTCGATCCAGATGTTGGTGGCGCCGAAGAGGGAGACGCCGTCGCCGTCGCTGCGGGTGCGGAACCCGAAGTGGTCCTCGGAGCTCCGGATCATGCCGCCGGGGCAGGGCTGGGTGTCGTGGATGTGGAGGCCGTGGATGATGACGTTGTCGACGAACTGGAGGGTGAGCTGGCCGCCGTTGGCGATGTGGACGTTGGCCCCACGCGCGTCGATGGTCTTGTTGGAGTTTATCATCAGCTCCTGGCTCAGGACGATGACCATGGACCGGGCGAACGTGATCCAGAGCGGCCGGTTCTGGATCACGGCGTGCCGGAGGGTCCCCGGTTTCGGGTTGACCGCGTCCGCGTCGGACGGGTCGGTGACGACGTAGAACTCGCCGTCTTTCCCGCCCGTGGTGCCACGCGCGAAGCCCATGGCGCAGTCGGCCAGCCTCTTGCGGTTGGCGGCCCAGTTCTTGTCGCAGCGCCAGCACCAGTCGATCGGGTTCGTGGCCTGGCACGCGCTCCCTTTCCCTCCTCCTGATTTCTGGCCCAAACCTCGCCTTGTGCTGTTGTCTTGCTCGGCTAACGCCCTGTTCATCATCGGCAATCTGTTAGTCTGATAGACGGTTTCATGGAACCCGATCCAAACACCCGTATTGGAGGTTGTACCCGTAAAAGTTCAGTATTTTAAGCTGAAATCATGGTTTCAGTTTGATCGTTATATATCGTTAAACTTGCCTACTAGTTTAGGTTCCGGTAGCAGAAACCCCGATACGGTACTAGTTTCGCAAATACGGACCAGATCCGCCCAAACAAAAACAATCTTGTTATCACATCCAATGCAGTCAAAAGCATAATATATTATGTATTTGGTGAACTGGAAGCGTACAAATGTAAGCTTTGAAGTGCGATTTTAACTACAATAGTTGAGGAAAGCGTGATTTTTACGTAGGAATATTTTAGTCATCGATCCAGAAGCATTAAAACGTACGCTTTTTAAGATTCAAAATGCGATTTTTGAATGTATAAGAAATGCACATTAAAAGGGGAGGAAGAGGATGCAAGGAACTAATGAATGGAATAGATCGAGGGGGAGAAAACGATCCATACTCGTGTACTTTGCCGTTGAGATGGTCGGCGACTTGGACAGGGTCAGGGTGGTAGGCTGCCTGAGCATTCTCGTGAGCCTGCTTAGCTCGCCGGCTCCAGTACTCTTCATCGGTAACCTGACCGGCGGGACTCGCATCGGGGGCCTCTGCTGCTGTCGACAGAGTTACGACACCGGAAAACAGTGTTACCACCAACACAAACAACAACGTCCCCATCGATCCCTCCTTCCTTATTAGTCCCCTCTCTTGTTCTCTATTTACCTTTTTTTTTCTTTTATTTTTTTTGCCCGAAATTAATTCGATTATTATCGTTCCTTAAATTATGAGAGAATGAAAATTTTATGGGTAGGATTGTTTTTGCTTGCTGTAGGGTCAGAGCGGTTAGTATAGATAGAGAAAGAAGGTTGAAGTTTCATGGCCCTGACCTCTCTGGGAATGTGCTCTGGAGTGGAAGGGAAGATGAAATTAGTTTTTGAAGGAAGAGAAGAGGGGAAGAAAATAGAAGGAAAGTAAAATGAGAAGTAGGGAGGAAAGATCGGATGGGAAATTGAAGGGGAGGCTTCAACGTTAATTTGATTCTCTAATTTTTTTCTTTTTCTTTGCATGCTTAATTGTGTTCTATATTCAGCCTCCTTGATCTATTAATATTAACGGATGAAAATCCATTACCAGCTACCTAAAAGGACTATCGAATCGTAAGATCTGTACGACACACAAATTTGAAGAAAAAAAATCGTATTAGTTGGTTTTATGTGCTTAAATTGATAATTCATAATAATATCAACCGATTTGATGCTATTACACCGCTAATTTAATATAAATTTTTTAATACTGATATTTGACCAACATGCGGTAAGTGAACCACCATTAGAAGAGAAATATCATTATGCTAAATTTTATTTTATTACTAGAATGACAACTTTAATCTACGTTAATACTATTCTCTCTCATTTTTAATGAATATCGATATTCGACCAATATTCTTTCAGTTTACAACATTGCAATAACATTATGTGATTGAAACCAAAAGACCAAGGGGGCCTTGGCCCGCGTTCTACCCGGAGTTTAAACATGGCTTATATGATCAAATTAAGCTAGGAAATCATGAACAATGAGTCTGCTTTGTGGGTTAAAGTTCTGCAGGGTAAGTATTTCAATCATAGAACTGGCGAAATTGTGTCCATGAAAAAAAAAGCAATCACTCTTGTTTATGGAGAGCTGTTTTAAAAGCTATGCTTGGAGCATTAGAAATGGTAGAACCACTGGCTTTTGGACTCACCCTTGGATAGACAAAGGAGTCATCCTTGGTGAGCATGTGCTGGATGGATGTCCTAACTTTAATCTTAATGACTGTGCGTCGGATTGGGTGACTGAAACAGGGGAGTGGGATTGGCAACGATTGAGAACGATGCTGCCTAATGACTTGTTGTCTTGTATTGCAGGAATGGACACCCCTAAGGGGAACCTCGGGGAAGATATTACAATTTGGGGTGAGGAACGCGATGGATGCTTCCGTCTTAAGTCTGCTTACAAGCTGGCTGCTGAGGAGCAAGACGATGAACCAAACAACATGTGGAAAGCTTTGTGGAAATGGAAAGGACCAAGTCAGATTAAGCACTTCCTCTAGTTGGTGCTTCACGACAGACTCTTCACCGACACAAAAAGAGCAAAGCTGAAACTTACCACCAATAACAACTGTAATCACTGTCTCGTGACGGAAGAAACGATGGAGCATATCATCCGCTCCTGCAAGAAGGCGAGGTCCATTTGGGATCACTTCAGCAGCAAGCTTCAGGATAAAAGCAGTTCTTCCAACTTCCAATCTTGGCTCATTACCAATCTCTCCCACGATGAGCATGGAGTGGACTTTCGAATCACATGTTGGAATCTGTGGAAACAAAGGAACAAAGAAGCGATCAAGGGAAGAAGCTACTCAAAACCAGGCCTCCTAAATCGTATTGCATCATGGTTCACCATTGTTAGGCAGGCTAAATCCTCGGCAGAAGACCATCAAGAAGCTTTCATGGAAGCCACCAGATGAAGGGTGGATCCAAATTCAGACGGATGGCTCGATTTTATCCCCATCTAGTTGTGCTGCAGCGGGCAGACTTCTGAGAGACAGCCTTGGCAGATGTGTTGCAGCTTTTGTTTGCAACCTTGGAACCTGCACAATCACGAAAACTGAGCTTAAAGGAGCTTCTGAAGGCCTTCTCCTGGCTTGGTGTAACGGTTATAGGAAAGTGCAGCTGAACCTTGACTCAATTACAACCATGTCAACCATCAACAACAGTAGTGAGAATGAGCATATATACGGTCTTCTCGCACAACAGATTGACAACCTCTTAAAAGATGGATTGGAAAGTCTATGTGCCTCACATCTATAGGGAATGTAATTTTGCGGCTGATTACTTAGCTAGTAAATGCCATTTTATCCTTTTGGCACACATCAATTCGATGTGAGCGACCCAGGATTAAGGCAATGAATTGCCTATGATATTATGGGAATTTCCTCCCAAACTGAATTCCTATTTAACGCCCTAACTTTTTAAAATTTAACGCCCTAACCTTACCGAACAGACGAAACTACCCCTAATCACTAAAAAGGCAGCAACTACCCCCAGGCCCCAATCCCTAATTTTCGCCCTAGCCCTTGCTGCTCCCCGTCAAAGAAAAGAAAATAAAAGAAAATAAAAAGAATCCCCGCCGACCACTCCAACTCTGCAAGACCACTGCCGCCGCCGTGAACCCCGCACACTGTCGCCGCCGCGACCCCGTCACCCACCTCTTCATCTCCATGGCATCCATCTCCAATACAACCTCCGACACCACAGGCGCCCACCTCTTCGTCTCCCTCCATCTTCAATCCCACTCGCCAACGCATCCTCCATCGCCCCACCCCTTGCACTGCTCCGCCTGTCGACGACGCGGGGATTCTGGTACTGTTGGATTCTTCGCGGTCAAGGAAGGAGCCGGAAGGGTCGGCGCGGTTAAGGAGGAAGGAGGGTGAGTCGAAAGCCAGAAAGTGATGAGAATTGAAGTTTGATCGAGAAGGGAAGAAGATGAAGAGAAGGCAGTTGTGGCGGCGACGGACGACGACTCCCAGTCCCAGGGCGAACGGCGGCGACTCTCAGGGGAAATTTGTTACAAATTGAAATTGGTTTAGGGGCAAAAATGTCAAATTATCAAAGTTAGGGCGTTAAATTTTAAAAAGTTAGGGCGTCAATTAGTACCTCTCTTCCCAAAAACATTCTGTTAATATTACATAGATGTGTCTTGTGTCTATCTTTCTACCAAAAAAAGAGTGACACTAAAAGATTCTTGGTAAGCTTATAGATATATAATATTATAAGCAAATGAGGGTACCAACAACACATAAATGAGAAGTATTCCACGAACTAGATTAATTATTCCAACATGTGTTGCTGGGGTTTGCTCTCCGTTACTCGTCTTCCTTCGCTCATATCTCTAACACCAACTCGGATTAGAGATGATGCAGCTCTGAACATTGAACAAAGAGTTATGAACGGGAGAATGACGAACATTGGGCCGGTGAGTTAATTTTCCAAAAATAATGAGTATATACCACTCCCTCTAAAATCATCGTTAAATTGTAGACAACCCCATAAACATGGAAAGTCAACAGATACAAGGCTTCCTATTGACTGGGTTTAGCATTAGCTCAATACTGACCAATTAGGAATTAGCACTCTAACCCCAATCTTTTTACTTGGGCCCTTAAGACCTTGTTGGGATCCATTCGGTTATATTGATATTGGGCCTACTAAGCCTGTTTGAATCATTATTCCCCACGCAGGCCCGCACTAGGCTTCACCGAAACGGAAGCAAAAGCGGGAGGGACGTCAATTGGCTGCCTGTTGCTCTGCTGAGATGGATTTCACTCTCGGCCAATCTTCTCCGTGAGGCTAGCTTAGCTAGCTGCCATATTTCCAGAATGATGCCAAACCCAAAACAAAGAATAACATTCTTTTGTTGCCTTTGTCTCTTGGAGGGATCGCATACCCGCGAAAAAGCACTTCCCACTACCACACCAATGCCCAATCGATAACACTATGGCAAAGCCGCAGCGGGAAGAGGTGAGTGAAGAAGATCAACACTAACTGCCTTTTAACTGTTCAGATGCCCGGCTATCAGAATTGGAAAGGAATTGAAGCTTATTTCTGATGATCCGGTATACCTTACATGGATTGAACAATTCTGAGGTGTCACAGGTGTGGGTGGCGAACAGTATAATTACTAGAAGTCTGGATGTCATCCGATCCGGAGCAGAGCAATGTTAGGAAAGTAAGCATTGAGGATCGTTGATAGATAGATGGCAAAAGAAGAATAATAAAAAGGGAAACCCAAAAGGCAAAAGGTGATGCTTTTTACAATTGAGCTGCCTTTTTCCACCCCTGCTCTGCTTTTCTTCCAATTTCAACAAGAGGTTGACGAAAAAGGAGTTGTGGAGGGGACAGGGAAGGGCTGGAGGAAGCGGGACGACGGAATCGTGTGCCCAATTGCAACGGCATCTCCTCCCAGATTTTATGCCACAAATGAAATCATCTCGATCTTCTCTTCTGTGTTGTGGTGTGTTCATATTCCCCTTAGCCGGGCAGTAGCTAGGTGTAGGGCAGCATCCCTGCCCAAACTACGAGTGGGAAACTGTGGAAAAGGGTACCCCCTAAAGGAAAAAGAAGGGGAAAAGGATTACTCAAACCAATCAAATCGATTTGATGTAACCTGCTATCTCAAGAACCAGCTGGTGGTATATGATTATACATAACAATTGGGTCTTCAATTTTTGTTACAATGGAACTCTTAATATGTATTTCACACAAGAAATGTATACAAAGTCACACAATGGAACTCTTAATATGTTATTATAATATTATTATGATTATTATCAATAGATAAATATGGTTAGTAGTCTTTAAGTCATATTAGGATAGTCGATTAGGTTTTTTCAGCAATTCCCTATATATATGTACTTTGTGAATAATTCGTAATCAATAAGAAGAATATTAAGAAAAGTCTCTCAAACCCTAATCACTCTATCCTCTCAATTCTCTTTCTCAATCCCTCTAAGGACTAGGCCGATTCTCTATCTTTCTCTTTTTCGTTCCCAAATCCCAATCTCAATCACTAATTCTGTTCGTATAAATCTTATTTTGCAAATATCAAACCCAACAGGAACTTTGTTCATATCAATTGGTATCAGAGCCTGGTTCCGAGAGCGAGTTCGTCACAACTCTCAACCAAGGTCGGCTTCCTACCAGTCAAAGCCCCGATGAGTACATCACTACTCACCATTAAGGAACTACTGGACCAGCTAGAGGCGACTCTCGAGGCCATCTGGGCCAAGAGGAAGGTGGCGGTTTGCAGCTCGACGGCCGCCCTTGCGGTTTGACGGACTAATTCGAGACCCAAGGCAAGGCCGAATGACGTTGTTTTCGCGGTGATGGCAGAGGCGGAGGAAGATTCCGGCCGAAGCGGTTTTCGGCGCGGAGGCGACGGCTAAGGTCGAGCGACTAGAGATGGCTTCGACTCACAGGGAGGCGTGATCAGGGACGAGACGCGACCTGGTCCTGTCTCTTGGTCGCTAGGAGGTGGGCTCGATGTCAAGGAGGGA